TGTGATTCTAAACTACCGAAATTCTCTCTCTATACTTTCGAGTCAATCTTCCCAACAATGTGAAATGCTTGAGGGTTGATATTAAGGCCTTTGTGTTCTTGGGGGACTAAATGCGTTGTCATTCCCCGCCATGTTTTCTTTTCGAGATCTGCTGCTCAATTTTTCTTTAATTTCTGTCTTTTCTTCTCAAAAGTTCGCCACCTACTTGGGCTACTCTTATTATCTGCTCTAATCTTTGTTTTCTCTATTTCTGCAAGTTTTCATCCTCGTCGCCAATTAAATATCTCTATGCGTACATAGGCCTGCGTTAAATTCAATCGTCCCATAGTGTATTCCCCGTAGCTAGAAAATTCTAGAGTGACATAACAAAAAGTATTCGTTACAGGTACTAAGGTTAAAATATTTAATGTAACCAAGACGGTTAACTGGTTTTGTCACTAATAAACAGCCTTGCTCATTGAAGCCGGTCAGATTTTAAGCCACAAAAATCAACGTGGCCAGACTTCGATTGTTGATGAATGAAGGTTTTATGGTAATTCTTATCATATATGTTAAAATAAGCCCCAAATATTGGCTGTTTATTTCACTATCTATACTTACTTGCATCAACATTTAGCGATATGTTCCGGACTCCTTCTATGACCGAAAAAATAAAAATAAATCCAGTTATCTCCCCTTAACCACTCCTTAACTCAGTACTTTCAATGTTCGGGCAGCCATTTTAGAGCCACGCGGTTTTAAGGATAGGTATTATCTTAGTCATTTCTAAACCTTCTACCGTTGCTCATTTTATTATTTTATGTAGTTTCATTTTTTTGGAGAGTCTGTCTGCGTATGTGTCTTATAAGCGAGCACTCGAATGTCGGAAGAGTCTTTCAAAAATGCTCGAAATGTGGTCGAGCCATGTCGTGTGCAGACAACTACGACTGTTGTTATCGACACCCAGTATGTTCGGAGGCGGTTAGATCTGTTTGATAAGGCCAACTTCAAGTTTGGTCTAAGGTCACGAGATGTAAACAGGACTAGCGCTAATGCCAACCCAACCCAACCCAACCCTGGACCTAGCCCTAACGCTTGTCCTAACCCTAACAATCACGTGCCCTAACCTTATTTACATCTCATCGACCATAAGGATATAGATTTAGCTGGTCGGAGGCACAGAAATGAAATGAAATGGGGTTTAACGTCCTACTGTTCTGTTCCTATACTGGGCTAATGAAGACGGGCATACATTTTCACATTTTGCTCGAGCAGCGCACAGACCGAAAGCTTCCAAGCGAACTGTCGTGCTAAAAGTCTTGGATAATTGGGATTCTAGTTTGACTCGCACTCAAACTTCAGGTTAAATTTCTTCCAAAAATATATGCCAAATAAAGGACTGTCTCTGTGCTCAAAGCGCTTTGACCTTATCAGTGCTTCAAATGATCAATTGGGCAATAGTAGTGCAGAAAATGTTCAGTCCTCCGGGGAAAATGGAAGTCTATTTAACACTTCCTAGGCTTTTCCAGGTCTTAGCAGAGAGCCAGACGAAAAACACTCCATTTCCTAATGTATGTTACCTTTTATAAGTGGTTTTCGCCCTTGTTTAGCATGCAAGATTCGATAGACCAGAGAGTCAATGAAGGTTTAGCTTCAAAACCTAAGGGAAGACCGGATGAGATTTGGGAGAACTCTTTAAGCACCCCAGCAAACAGGAAACATGGTGTAAAACGCAAACGATTTGATAGGGTTGGACAGTAATATCAAAGAGGGAATTATGAGTTCAGCAGACTCCAGGCATTTGGGCACTCCTGATCGTTTCAATAATAAATCCTATGGAGTTGTTAACGCAGATTTGGGTCTTTTGGACTTGGGCTCTAGATTACTGCTTAGACAGATCTCTTAGGCTAATTAATTACATTTTATTTAGACAAGACTGTTTAAGATGAAGACAAACAGGAAGCCTTGCAGTCTTTGACTAAATTACTTCAATCCATGGCGGATGTCACACCTCGCTGTATCTATGAGCCAGAAGGAGTCTCTATTTGAGGATCATGGCTTTGAAGTATAAGGCTACGACAATCCACAATAGGCTCTAAACTATTTTGTGGCAAATTCTTTAATATTTTGCACAATAGTGCAAAAAATTTATGTGACGCTAAAGCGACACAGCATCTCAATGATTTAAAGAGAAAGGAGTTAAAGAGAAAAAAGGGTTCCTGACAAACAACCTTTCCATAGCCCCAAGACGCCTCGGCTAGACAATTTTTCCATAGACAGGAAGAGCCTAAGAATAGCTTCAGTAGGAGTTTTAGGATAAGAGGTCTGTCGGGTCAGGGCTTTAAAATGCAAGGTAGTCAGGCTTGGGCTTTCGCCACCGAAAATAAACCACTGGAGCCTAATCGAGACGGCAGATGTAAATCAGTCGGTAGTGGGAGGTCGTCTGCGGCCAGGGTTAGTAAGTTACAGGGCTATTAAGTCGGTCAAAGAGAGGAAGGCTCTGGTGTTCGTCTACTTCCTGGTGTTCAATTTTTGAGCAAGACTCAAGACTTGCTACTGATTCGGATGATGTTTTGCTTTGTCCATATATATATATATATATATATATATATATATATATATATATATATATAGGTTTTAAAAGCGTATATTCAGGGGACTAAACTTCTTAGGATACAAACCCGTTAAATGGACAAACACAAACTAGAACAGACAGGAGTAGAGTAAACCTTTATATTTAATCTAAACCCGCTTCCTAAAGCTACGAATTCTTTTATTTGCTAAATGTTGATACAGGAACGTATAGATACCTTATAAACATTGGTCTTACATTTAAAAACCCTCGGTTTGTTGTATTTTTATACGCCCACATTTTCATGTGGACGTATTATGCCGTCGCCCCTGTCCGTCCATCCGTCCACAATTTGTTTGTGGACTCTCTACAGGTCACAATTCTTGTCCGATTTTGACAAAATTTGAAATTTTGGTTTATCCCAAAAGATCTCGGCTGCTTTCGATATTGGCATGTATCGGATTGGAACTTCATTGATTATAGCCCCTATTTGTACGAAAAATCACGTTTTTAGCTTGTGGACCCTATAGAGGTCACAATTTTTATCCGATTTTGTTGAAACTTGAAATATAAGTTTATAACCCAAAGATTTTGGTTCCTTTCGATATTCGCGCATATCGGACCGTAACTTCCAGAATTATGGCCCCTGATTGTACGAAAAATCGCGTTTTTAGCTTGTGGATCCTCTCGAGGTCATAATTTTGATCTGATTTAAAAAAAACATATTTTTATATCACCGTTACACCCTAAGGAAGGTTGAGTTCGAATTTCGTGAAAATCGGACCAAAATTGCCTGACAAAATGGCCGCCGTTTGTACGCGAATAGTGTAAAAATATGGTAAATCAAGGTTGTAGACCCTGTATGGGTCACAATTTTAATTCGATTTTGATGAAATATGAAATGCTTGTTTATGTTTGTCACATATCGGTTCGTAACTTCCTGAATTATGGCCCCTGATTATACGAAAAATCGCGTTTTTAGCTTGTGGTCCCTCTGGAGGTCACAATTATTATTCGATTTAAAACAACATTTGATTATATCACCGTTACACCGTAATGTAGGTTGAGTTCAAATTTCCTGAAAATCAAACCAAAACTGCCGGACAAAGTGGCCGCCGCTTGTACGCGAAAGGTGTAAAAATATGGTATATCAAGGTTGTGGACCCTGTAGAGGTTACAATTTTAATCCGATTTTGATGAAACTTGAAATGCATGTTTATAACCCAAAGATCTTGGTTCCTTTCGATATTTGCGCATATGGACACAGATCACTAAAGATTTCCCCATTGACTCCAATGTTAATTCTCGTATCTTAGACCGGCTCTTAACTTTTTCCCAAATTTTCGTTGGGTAGAACGCTTTCTACCACAGATGGAGCAACATGTGGCAACCACTTGCCCAAAAGCACGTATGAGGTTCTTCATGAAAAACTTGAGATACACAAGCTGGAAGTAGAGACAAGTAAACATGCAATTTCAGGCCCTACATTTCAACGTAACCAACCTCTCAACTCTTGTATCCTTCCGCATCAAAATTATGAATATTCACCAAAACCTGGCAGAAAATGTATTTTCAAACCCTTTTCCTCAATTCTACACCAAAAAGTCAACAAAAATCGCCATGCAAAAGGGGGAAAAAGGAAAAGGGAGAGGAAGACTAAAAATAGCTTTGGCCCTTGTTTCGTGGGTGACGGCGTAGGAATATTTGGTGATCTGTGTCCTATATAGGGGTGAAACTTCAGGGATCACCAAAAGGCCTTTTTTATTTCCTTCCCATGTGTTCTGGCAACATGCCGGTGAAAGAAAATCAAAATCAAAGAATAACTGTAAAAATGATGGCCCTTTAAGTACACATGCTGCTTTATGTACACTGGTGCATCTCAGGTCCATAGGCCTTTTGTGCTAAAATTTAAAAATCTTTCTTATTAAAGGCAGTATCTGAGTTCTGTGAAAAAATTAGACAAGTAACAAAGAAACTACATACAAAACACTCATAATTTGGAATTTTTTTCAAAAATATAATTTTTTACTGCCATGTGATGAAAAATGTACAAAATTTACATGTAGCATCTCTCAAAATACCAATAATTTTCCACTTTTTCAAATATCCGGACGGACAAGAAATATATTTTTAGAATCTGTGGACAATATGCAAACAGAAAAAATGCAAACCAGTTGCAATGATTGTAATATTAGAGATCTATACTGAAACATGTATGCCTACCCCCTGAACATGCCACTGATTGAATTAATCTAATCTATGGTTGCAGAACTTACATTACCAAAGGAATCTGTCTAACAGCTATGTTTTACCATCCCTGGCTAACATATGCACATATAAACTAAAATAGGTGCAATAAATATGAATTATGGTTAAAAATAGGCCTTGATGAATGAAAAAAATGCCATGTTTGGTCTATGATCACCCCTCTCTAACAGAAGGGTCACAGAATACACAATTTTCACAAATTTGGGAATATTTCAATGTTTCCAACATCTCAAACCTCAGAGGCATGTTACAAATTTGTATTGCAATCCTTGTGCTGAAGCAAGATGTCTGGAACTTTACATTAATTTCCTGAAAAAATGAAGTCAAAAAAGTAGTCATGACAGACATGACAACATAAAAAGAGGCCTGAAAAGGAGAAAAATTAACATTTTATTGTTTTATAGGCAACATAAATGCAGCAAACACCACAAATGCTGGATTTTGATAAGAAAATATTGAAAATTAAACTGACATTTACACATCTACACCAGTTTTATATCTGGGTCTGGTCTCATTGGCCTGAAATGCCTCAGGGTTCTACGTTTGACTCTGAACAAATAAGGGTTAGAAATCCTTGAAATGCACAAAAAAAATATTTTTGGGTGAAAAATAACATTCTTAGCTGTAATTCAACCACAAATTCCAATTAAGATCATTTACATGTCAACACAGGTGCATTTAAATCCCTCAAAACACATTAATAGAAAAGGGTGGGGTGGGGCATTTATTTCCTCTCTAAACAGAATGATGGAGTAAAAAATGTCTAGAAAGGCTGGGATATTGCTTCCTACATGAAGGAAATGCAAGAATTTAATGTTTCAAAGAAGAAAAAAATGCTTATTCTGGGTAAAATAGTGGCAAAATTGAGCCAACCCCTGTTTTGAACATTTTGTACAAACCCATCTGCTGTACATTATTAACTCAGTGTTACCAATTTTCAATTTTCTGTAGGAAAGCTGGAGCTATTTCTACACCTGACAAACATGTAGATCCCATCTAAGTTATATTAGCAAAGAAAATATGGGCATTTTTAGACATTTTGACTCATTTTAGTAGTCATGAAAATATTAATTTCTACATCCAAATGGGGGGAATCTCAAGATTTTTTGTGAATATTCCTGATTTTTAGACAAAATTTGGTGAAATTTCAATACTGTTCATTTTATCTGTGCTTTCTGAGACTGAATAAGCCAACATTGGGCATTAGAATATTTTACTTACTGTTAAAAATTCAATAAAAATTGAAAATTGAGAAATTTGCAGTAAAATCACAATTTTTCTTCAAAACTTTGATTTTTTTTTTTTTTAATTAACTTTTTTTAGTTTTTCTGTAGCCAAACTATTTTATTCATATTTTCTGAGAATTTAATCTTCATATTTTCAAAACTAAGGCATATCAGTGACAGCCTTATCACACACAGACAGGACACAGATCACTAAAGATTTCCCCATTGACTCCAATGTTAATTCTCGTATCTTAGACCGGCTCTAACTTTTTCCCAAATTTTCGTTGGGTAGAACGCTTTCTACCACAGATGGAGCAACATGTGGCAACCACTTGCCCAAAAGCACGTATGAGGTTCTTCATGAAAAACTTGAGATACACAAGCTGGAAGTAGAGACATGCAATATCAGGCCCTACAATTCAACGTAACCAACCTCTCAACTCTTGTATCCTTCCGCATCAAAATTATGAATATTCACCAAAACCTGGCAGAAAATGTATTTTCAAACCCTTTTCCTCAATTCTACACCAAAAAGTCAACAAAAATCGCCATGCAAAAGGGGGAAAAAGGAAAAGGGAGAGGAAGACTAAAATTAGCTTTGGCCCTTGTTTCGTGGTGATCTGTGTCCATATCGAATTGTAATTTCATGAATTATGGCCCTTGATTGTAGGAAAAATCACTTTCTTTTTAGCTTGTTCTCTATCCATCTCTCAAAAATGTGGGCGTATCCTGCCTGGCAGCCGCTGGTTTTTCATGTGGACGTATATTGTCGTCGCCCATGTCCGCCCGTCGTCCACAATTTGTTTGTGGACAATCTACAGATCACAATTTTTATCCGACTTTGACGGAACTTAAAATATAGATCTATCTCCCAAAGATCTCGGCCCCTGTCAATATTGGCATGTATCGGACCATAACATCATGAATTATGGCCCCTAAATGTACGAAAAATCACGTTTTTAGCGTGCGGGAACGCTGGAGGTCACAATTTTCACCCGATTTTGATGAAACTTGGAAATGCATGTTTATAATCCAAAAATCTTTTCGCGCATATCGGATCGTAACGTCTTGAATTATGACCCCTGATTGTACGAAAAATCGCGTTTTTAGCTAGAGGTCATAATTATTATACAATTTAAAAAACCGTTTGAATGTATCACCGTTACACAATAATGTTGGTTGAGTTCGAATTTCATTCGGACCAAAACTGCCGGACAAAATGGCTGCCCCTCGTACAAAAATAGTTTATCAAGGTTGTGGACCCTCTAAAGATCCCAATATTGATCTGATTTACTACATATTCTTGAAATGCATGTTTATATCCCAAAGATCTTGTTTCCTTACGATATTCGCGCATATCAGATCGTAACTTCCTTAATTATGGCCCTTGATTGTACGAAAAATCGCGTTTTAAGCTTGTGGTCACTCTAAAAGTCACAATTATTATCCAATTAAAAAAAACCGTTCCAATATATATCACCGTTACACCTTAATTTTGGTTGAGTTCTAATTTCGTGAAAATCGGACCAAAATTGCCGGACAAAATGGCCACCCCTCGTACGCAAATAGTGTAATAAACGTCTGGTATATCAAGATTGTGGGCCCCTCTAGAGGTCAGAATTTTGATCCAATTTTGATGAAACTTGAAATGCATGTTTATTACCCAACGATCTTAGTTTATTTTGATATTCGCGCATATCGGATGTAACTTCCTGAATTATGACCCTGATTGTACGATAATCGCGCATATCCGAACGTAACTTCCTGGATTATGGCCCCTGATTATCACCATTCAACTATAATGAAGGTTGAATTCGAATTTCTGGAAAATTGAAATGAAATTTCCCAACAAAATGTCCGCTCTTTGTACGCTAATTTTGTAAAAGTGTAATACGAAGGTTGTGGACCCTCTAGAGGTCACAATTTTTATCCGATTTTGATGAAACTTAAATACATCTTTATATCCCAAAGATCTCAGTCCCTTTTGCTATTTGCGCATTTCAGACCATATCTTTCTGGAATATTGCCCCTGATTGTATAAAAAATTGCATTTGTTTTTATCTTATTCTCTATCCATCTCTTGCAAAATGTGGGCGTATCCTGTCTGGCAGCCGCTCTTCAATAGACTCGCCAATCCATCCTCATTGGTTTTCTCCAACAGTTAATGACTGCTATGCTCAAGCGAATTGTTGAAATAAAATTGAACCTGGGGATCACGGTGGCTAAGTGGGTAAGACGCTGGCTCGCTAGCCTGGAGGCCGGGTGTTAGATCCCTGCATTGGCCGAGAAAGTTCATCCAGATTTTTCGGCGTGGTTCTCCCTTGTCAGTAATGCGGGACTCGGACTGGGGGCCTGGCAAGGACAGCTGTCTAGTCGTTCGGATGGGACGAAACACCGAAGTCCCGTGTACACATTGGCATGCACGTAAAAGATCCCTTGACAGTTGGAATGCGAATGCGTATGCCCGTCTTTATTAGCCCAGTTCGGAGCAGAACAGTAGGACGTTAAACCCCATTTCATTTCATTTCAAATTTGAACCTAATTTGTGACGAGTAGACGTTAAATCCCATTTGCTCTCTCATTATATTTATTAGAAAAGAGTGGCTGTAATTAAATCACATTCAATTTTATATTAAGTGAAATGTGCCCTTTAAAAATATTGGCTACGAGCCAAATAAGTCGTCAGTTTTGAAAATAATCTTATCGCGTGAATACAACTGAGTGCATTATTTTGTTTTGCTGATATGCGTCATAGCATCTATAAATCAATAATGGATTTTATTCAGAGTTAAGAGGTTGTGTCATTTAAAATAGTGGTATAGTACTGTGAGAACTGCGTTCCCTTGCTTTGTTCGGGACAGTGAAGGCGTCCACGTCCATTTTCAAGGAAAACCAAACGTACGTAAAATTCCTTAATGTTGTGAACAATTGGGCTATTGTCATTATGCGAAATTGTTGCTTTACTTAAAGGAGCTAAATCGCTAATATTTTGGACCTAGAATGCATATAATAATGTAATCCCATTGTATATGAACCGATTTACATTCATTTGTTTCCGTTTTGGCTCTAATTTCAAATCAGTTATGTCCAGCGAAATACGGCATGAGTCCCAACTGACTGGCAATTTTTAGCGTCTGGTTATTCCAGTATATTGTGCATGCTCTCCAGATAAGATATGGCGTCACCGCTTGACATGAGTTGTGGAATATGTCTAATCTCGTTCTTCCTGGTCATTTGTTACAAATGACGCTGAAACGCACTATGGTACACGATTCGTGTACCAATGGAAAAATGTTTATTTTGTACCAGAAGCCTATATCTTTTTCCGGTAAGATCACAACATCAGTGTTGATTTAAATTGACAAATAATTCGTGTTTTCAACGTGTAAAACTTTGGATGATATTGAGTTAGAGACTTAGCTACTTTAACTTTTTGAATAATCTCGAACATCCTTTCATTTAGTGTACAAACGACGGCATGTGCATCACGCACTGGTCAGTTCTTGACTTGGGATCCTAGTCGGAGTTGAACTTGATAGGCATATGATTGTAGGAAATTTATTTTACATTGGATGTCAAAGCCTGTTTAAAGCATTTATTTATAATTTTGGGAAGTCTGCCAAAAACGATTTCTATATCAGTTGTTATTGTAATTTATTGGGAAAACCGTAATTTATTATGAGTAACGAAGTTATCGGGCATACCCAACAATCCACATTAAATTACGTCACAATTCACAATTTTTGAAAACAGATTTTCTATAAACACGTGCAGCCGGTATACAATCACAGGTGTGATGGTATCGTAGGGTTATTGCCGGGGACCCCAGATTGTCATTCTTGGATAATATTAGGACAAATACCGTAATAGAAATCGTAAGTTATTTTTACGTGCATTCTAACTTAATTGAGTAGATCGGAACGATGCCACTTGAAATCACAAGTCGAAACCCCAGTACTTTGAAGATCTCAATCTACCTGCATTAGTATCGTTCAATGTCATGAGATCCAGTAATTGTCTGGGCATCTCATGTGAAATCTGTGGAAGAATAACGTCATTATTATTTCAATGTTCACGTCCAAAATGCATAGGTCAGCAGTTCAAAATACTTATGTTGAAATACAGGATTGACTTTTCCATAATACAAAAAACAGTTTAAGAGAGTTATGTATTTGTTATTTTCACATTACACTCCCCCATTTTGCATTATGCATTATAGACAAATGTATTTGAGACTTTTGCATAATAGACCTCAGGTTGTAGATGCAGACCCCCATTTAATTTCACATTCTCGGTACCCACAAATCTCATATTTTGCAAGTGCTTTTGTGTGGTCTGGAATGGACAAAGGGTTTGATTTAACATTTTCGGCCAGGTTTATTCTGCTATACAATACACTTCATGTAAATGTGGTTGGGATGACATACATTTCTTAAAGGGTGTCAATTCTGACTTGACCCATTTATATTAGAAGTAAGCAACGTACATGTTATCGTCGCCATGTTATTTGAGGTTTTCCCAAAATTCTAACGGAATTTTAGCCCTTATCATTGTTAATTTGTTGATCTTCCACCTTATGATGTCAAGTTGCAGACCATCACTGTCTAAGAAACGCCATTCAGCAGACGACCAGCACCAAGACCGGTCGCATCTTTTCTATTTTGACTTTCTTGTAATAATTGACTAGTTTGTTTTCTTTTTGAGTGAAGCTTGTAAGATCGCAACATCAATGTTGATTTAAATTGACGAATAATTTGTGTTTTCAATGTCAAAGACTTTGGGTGATATTGAGTTAAGAGACTTGCATACTTTAAACTGTAAGAGGAGAGGCATGGTGAGGTTCATAACCGGTGGAGACTACACTCACATGGCTATATTATGAAAGTTTAATCTCTAAAGGGAATATCAGCCCAGAACTGGTTTAATTTTCAGTACCGGTATCGTCAAAGATATGATCGGTATGTTCAAAGATATGATCGGTATGTTCAAAGATATGATGAATTGAATATATGCCAACAATGGACATCCTCTGCACACAGCAAGCAACACCCTAAACTGTTTAAATCAGTTGATGGGTCTTATTGTCGTCCGATTTAAATTCGAGCAAGGGAGGGGGTATTTACCGTTGATAATTTGCTTTTGTTTCTTGATTAACTGGTACTAATATAATCAATATGACAATATTTTAGCATGGATGAAGTCGCGACAAATTAGATATTGATCAGCGACTTGACTTTTCTTTTCTCTCTTTTAGGTGTGGTACAATGTAATTGGTTGAATTTCCTGATGGTGAACATAAATGAAGATATGATGGAATAAAATTAAGATGAACCTACAACTGGTCACAATGATAAGTGTTCGGAAAAAAGATATATCTACAAAATATTGAATCATCGGATGAAGGCATATATATTAACAATGACGTTTTATCCAGGAAACAAAAAGCAAATCGTACACATCGGTTCCAAACTATGCTGTGCTTTCTGACTGGACAGTGGGTGTAACACTATTAGTGTATAACAGTAGACCAGTTTCGTAAATATATGGTTTATTTACAACGGGAACAGAATATCAAACATCTACATAATTACAACAATCTTGAATCAACCATTCTGCCCCTCTGCCAAGGCAGCGGCTGAACTCGGGTGAATCCATACACTCGTCCAACCCTTTCTTCTCCTCCCGGCTCTTCTCTGCTAACTGTCAGTTAACTCCTCAATATATACCCTTGTTCACAGCTATCATGACGCCATCATTACTTGGAAAATGACGGCCGACTAGTTCCGTTTTCATTTTTAGAAACCGGTACCATCCATGGTTACAAAACTTTAAATTGAAGTTTATACTTCGTGCTTGTGTTCATGCAGATCATTAATTTCAGAGATATGGCTCTTGTTGTTTATAGATTAAATTTATCGCCCGGTTGATTTATAGCCTACACATTTATATCCATGTCACGCATAGCCTACTGGAAGTGAGATCGGCTAACCTTTCCAGGTCATAAGCCTCCATGTCCGCCATATTTATTTCATAAATTAGAAACAAGTATGGCGGCTTGGGGTCGTTAACTTTTTTTATTTAATTATTTCGGTATTTTTGTAACCGGAGTTCTGCTTTAAGTAGATATAACAAAGTCGAAGAAAACGAGTACGAGCGTGTACTATTTGCAAAGAAATAATAAATTTTAATTCTATATCTACATGCAAATACAAGCAAACATCATTATACAGCCATTGAATAACCGAGCATGACGTCACCCGTCACCGTAGTCATTTTGGGTTTGTGACAACCGACATGCCAAGTTTCCTGTCGATTTTTCTTAACTTGGCAGAGCCTTCCTTTTTGGCGTTTTTTTTTTTTCGAAAACCGTCACACCCAGTAACAACTGGATGACAAGTAGCTCTTGGTCCAAAAACCCGAGTTGGAAGCATAATTAATGAGACGTTAAGTATTTCAGTTTTACTTGTCTTTACTAAACTAGGATCTGGAAGAGATGTTATCATTGACGAGTTCTGAGTGGTGTGAGGGATTAACCAATGGAACGGCGAGCTTTAGGCGTGTTTTTCACGGAACTGTGGGTAATCCATTAGTAACATCAATGTTGATTGGTTAATCAAATGTCTGAAGTCATAGGGTCAAAAGCCGCTCGTATGACCTCTAACGCGACCTATCGCCACAACCGGTCAGATCTTCTTGTAGTGTAGGCCATCGAAAGTATAAAAAAAAAGAAACGAAACGAAATATAGATCTGTAGGCTATTTTAATCAGATTGAACTCAGCGTAATATCCCCTTTAACATGTTATTTATTTGGGAATGCCCAGTCAATCTTTTCACATGAATGTTTATATTCGGCTCTGTATTAAGTCAGTTTTTCGGGGAATATGCGTAGTTTTGAATAGACCTATGTGTTGAGGGGAGAGATAACTACAATTTTCCACAAGGTATGTCATTTTCAGATCTATTTTGTCATTATTTTTTGTAATAAAAACGGGTAAAAGCATGTTGTTTTTTTCTTTTGTCAGTAATAAAAGAATTTATAAGACATCAGGGGTGGATTGGGTCCGGGCTCCCGTGTCGAAGCGGTCCCTTTTACTGACCTGGAAAATTTTGAAATATGAACCCCAAATATGCGATTTGGTGGCATATCTGATTATAATCTCTGTCAAATAATATATCTCATAAATCGATTAATTTATGCCCAAATCCCGACCTGCAAGTAATTTACAACCGTCAACCTGTGAAATTATCATATCGTCATATTATTAATTAACGTATTATCATTGTATCGTCACGAGTATTTAACGGGTTAAAAAATGGGACTAGTTGAGAAAATTTTGACCATTTGATTAACCAGTTAGGAATATTGAATAAGTAGGAATATTTTCATTGAAAAATGCAGGATTCCGAATTCCGGCCCACACCCGGCCCAGAAAGTCTATTATACCAGCCCATTCCAGACTCCAGGGGTAGGCGTGGCAGCCCGTTAAAGCCACCGGCCACATACAAAATGATCATCATCGCTCCATGGTAGGTCCAATACCCCCCCCCCCCCCTCCCCATATAATGTTCAGCAGAAAAAGTTTTTTTAGACGAATTGGACAAAAAAAATTTTTTTTCATTTTTTGTCGCCCCTGCAGGACATTATAAATCGATTAAGGAATCATAAGAAATTTAGCTGTTCAAGTTATTTAAATATCCATAGTATTCTTCGACTGTATAAATAATCAGGAATTTAAACATGTAAACAAAGAAAATATGCTGGCTACGTGAGAGCAGACACTCGCTTGTATGGTGTTGTGCCAAGGCACGAAGCTATTCCTTCTTATGGGTGTTGCAGGAATCAAATTACCCTCTGTAGGGGTAGGACAATTGCACAACGCCACCTAGGAGTCGTGGCTAAAGTGCAGACAGCTCGATAAATTAAACCTAATTAAAAACTTAAACATACCGTATGCAAGAGCTAAATCTGTCTATTGCTGGTCTTTCTTTAGGCCTGAAATGTTATTTAAATTAAGATTAGACATTAAAGATACATTATGGGAGATAAGATGAAGAGCTGGTAGTTCTCATTATAATAGTTAAAAACTAGATAATGTAAAGGGAATTTTCTGAATATTTCAGTCAAAATGATCAACCCTGAACCGCGTATTTAGCGATTGAATTTGGGTTGATGTTATAGCGCACACTTCAAAATACCAAAAAACGGGAGGAGCTACCAATATTATAATAGCTAGCTGAGCAGAAATTCTAACGTATCTGTAAAGCCAGGCTGACACTTGCACGATTTTGTCGTGGCAAGTTGGGGCACGAACTGGGAGGCTCCCGCACTGTTCACGAATGCGTGCCCATCAGTGTCCACATTGACACGAACTGGCACGATGAGTTTACGCACTTCCCGCATTGGCACGACGAGTTTGCGCAATTCGGACGGTGTTCACGACCCGGTCGCTAAATTTAGTCGTGACCAAAATTTTGAACGGGACTACGCACACTTCACGCCAGTTTACGACTAGTTTGCGCACTGGCACGACTCGAGTCGTGCCAATGCGTGCCACGGAATCGTGCAAGTGTCAGCCTTGCTTAAGCGGGAATTAAGAAGCATAACCACGCCTTGACATGATCGGTGAAGATCGTTTTCTACACATCAGCGAAATGGCGACACCGCTGCCAACCGACAAGACGGACAAGATGTTTAATTCAAATAGGAAGCCGAGAAATATATTAAAGCGACAGAACACGCGACGACACAATATATAACACGAAAGACCAGGAAATTCAATACATCAGGTAGGAACATATCGACATGTAGGCTCATAATATACTATTCAAAAAAAGTAGGGGATATTTGATTTTGGGGGCTTAATACTAAAATATGCAAATGACTACGAAAAAAGTCACTATAGAACCTAACAGAAGAAACATTTCCAGTTACATGTGACGCCCAAACGCACCAATAGCTACCGCATGGGGGTCCAACCCAAGATTTGCACGACTCTGACTTTAAATGTTACAGTCATTGTGGCATTGAATTCCAGGGTGGAAACATCAGTTTAATTGTTTTAGTGACCAGAAAACAAATTTTGATATGCGTCGGCTTACCCAGCAAATCAGATCAGCGCTCGTCTTCAAACAGACACTGGTGTGAGAGTGAGTGGCCAGACGATTCGGAATCGACTGCATAGGGGTCACCTTCGCGCCCGACGTCCTCGCGTGATCCCTTGTTTGAGAGATCATCACATTCAGGCAAGACGTCGTTGGTGTAGGGATCGTCAACAATGGGATAATCGACGCTGGAGCAATGTGATGTTTACAGATGAGTCAAGGTTCACTGTTGATTTTTTGGACAGACGTAGGAGGGTGTGGCGTCGTCGAAACGAGCGCTTCCAAGACGTTAACGTCATCAGACATGATCGATTTGGGGGTGGTTCTGTTATGGTGTTGGGAGGCATCACTGTTGCTGGAAGAACGGCTTTACATGTTGTTGCAGGGCGTGTTACAGGCCATACTACCGGGACAACATCTTGGCAGTCCATGTTGTGCCGTTCGCACGACGTCATGGCCGCCGTTTCATCTTCAAGGATGACAACGCAAGATGTCACAGGGCCAGGATCGTTACAGGTTACCTCCAACAACAGAACATCACCACATTACCTTGGCCAGCACTGAGTCCCGACCTCTCCCCCATCGAGCATGTCTGGGACATGCTTGGACAGAGGTTACGTCAACGTCAACAACGTCCTGCCAATGTCCAAGAACTTGCTGCTGCGTTGCAACAGGAATGGGACAATCTGGACCAAAATGACCTTAGACGTCTCATTAGGAGTATGCCACGTTGGATCAATGCTTGTTTGGCAAACAGAGGAGGATTTACCTGTTACTGACTTGGTTGTGATGCTGTGGTAACTTTGCTGTTTGACCCCGGGTATCATTTTACCCTTATAATGGTCAGTCTGTGCCTTACTTAGTCTAACGATCATTTGGAATAAATCGATGAATGTGAACTTCATTTCATTTTGTCATTTGTTTCTTCGTCAGTTTCATTAGGTGACTTTAATAACACTTAAATATCAAATATCCCCTACTTTTTTTGAATAGTATAGTAATAAATATGCTGTAATAATAATAAATATGCTGTAATAGTAATCCGTTATGGGTGAGAATCAGATTATCAAAGTTAGCTATAAAAATAAGGCTATATTGTTCTTTAAACTCATGGCTTGGGCCCTGTTTCACGAAATCTTAACTAAAGATAAAATCCAAATTTTAGTAGATAACTTCAGTTTTGATAGGCTAAGCACTAAAATCAATCTAATATTATCCAATCAAATTACTAAAATTTGGATTTTATCTTAGTTAAAATTTCGTGAAACAGGCCCCTGGAATAGCAAGAGAACGGGTTTTAACATTTATATAGTAAGTGCAGGGGGACTGCACCACACAAAATTTACACAAAAACAAATACACGGACAAGACATCATACTCAGGAAAACACAAACAGACAGACAATTCAAAAAAGTGAATGGATCAGGGGGCTAGCCGTAACCGTCCACTGCGCTGTACAGTCCCGGGTCTGTAGTAACACAGACTTCACTCAAATTTGAAAACAATTAGGAATACCCATTGTGCAATGCCAGCATGAGTCATGGTCTGCTATATGCTACACGAAATACGAATGCAAGTATATGTAGTAAAATTCAACTATACAAGTAACCACATCGGTGAAATGTATAAAAAAGTAGTCCAAACCTAAATGCTCTAAAATCAATCAAGAAACGTTTCAGTATTCAATACATATAGGGCACATGTTCTATCAGTCACAAAAACAAAAACAAAACTGAATACAAAGAAGCAAATAGGAAATGTAGACTGTCTCGAGGAACAGCCGTCTGCTGACTGAGTGGCGACGTTCACTCGGCAAACCTCGGCAGATTCCGGTATCCTACATCTAGCCTCGGCTGTGTGACAGTGAGTAAGTGATATGTACCTACGCCTATACATTTGCGATGCGGCACCGGTTTACTTATAAGGGAAACTTGCCCGCGTTTAGAAAGAAGTTCTCAAAATTGCGTCGTTCGAAGAGTGTGTAGAATTTTCAGTGCAAATTTGTCCTTGTCTAAAGAAAATAGGATAAACTTGAAAGAAAAACAGCTTCAAACTTTGAAAATTTTGTAAGATAAAACATTCTTCAAATATAATCCTTGAGTGGCATTTAGCGATTGAACACATTAAAAACACAACACAGTTTATATGGAAATACAATCACTGGTTTATAAGTATAGCACGACGTTTCGACAAGTATTCTCTTATCGTTATCAAGCACAAATGATATTTAGTTAAACTAAAAGGTGATATTTATAGTAAAACAAAAAAGAAGCCATAGATAAATGCTGTTAAAATACAAGATAATAGTTAAATTGATCAAAGGATAATTAAAACTTAAATATAGTTAATTGGTCGTCATGGACAACGCTATTGTAATCCGGGAACTTGAAAGTAGTTCTAATGGCGGACTTTGTTATACAGCCGAGATTAGATGTAGGGTACTGGAATCTGTTGTGGTTTGCCGAGTGTGGCGACGTTATTTTGGGAATGACGTCATATCTTAGAAGGTGATAAAAATCACAATAATACGGGAGATAATCCAGATAAATTAACGTTAAAATCTTAAAAACTATAAGTTTTAGCGGCTAATCGGAATTATTAAGTTATGTAATTGTACAATTTATAATATATTAATATAATACCCCACACAAGAAATGCAAGACAGGTATGCTGAAGAAATCGTACTATGTAAATGTATTTATAAAGGCATAAAATTAAGGGAGTTAATGTAGTAGTCAATGTGGTATGCCTCCAGTTGTTCAAATGATTTCCCTTGATATTTCCAAGGTGAAGATTGACAGCTGTCAATCAGTCTGCACCGGTGGCTATGATGCCTGTC